CACACTAGGAAAAAGTATATATAACTCTTAATTAGTGGGAAATCAAATCACAAAACGAGGTGAATGATTTACTGCTATAAAAGTGTCCTCTTGCAAAAATACAAATTTTATTTTCTTTGAACTATTTTGAGTGCATCATCGTGACTCATCCCCTTTTTGTTGTTTCTTTCAGTGAGCGTGCCAATGCAACGGGGGCAACGGGTCAGCGTCTGAAGGAGGGTGCCCACATCAACAAATCGCTTGTGACTCTGGGTAGCGTGATCTCGGCTTTGGCGGAGCAGACGGGTGGCGGCCACAATAGCAGCAGCTCTGCATTGGCAACCACCCCAAATGGGGCCAGTAAGCGTGTGCTCTACATTCCGTACCGCGACTCAATCCTCACGTGGCTGCTCAAGGACAGTTTGGGCGGCAACAGCAAGACTATCATGATTGCAGCTCTTTCGCCGGCAGATTGCAACTACAGTGAAACTCTCAGCACTCTGCGGTACGCTAATCGGGCAAAGAACATCATTAATAAGCCAACCGTCAATGAGGATACCAATGTCAAGCTGATCCGCGAGCTTAGAGAGGAGATCAACAAACTCAAGTCCATGCTGTCGGGAGATATAGTGAGTTGTTGTTAACATATAATATTTCTAGATCAATATTACAATTTGTATTCCTCTTCCTCCAGCACTCCCTTCAACCGTCGCTCAAGGTACTGGCCGATCTTCAAAAAAAGGAGGCTCAAGAGAAAGTACTCACCGAGGAATGGACGGAGAAATGGAAGGTGGCCCAGTCCATTTTGCAGGAGCAAAAGAGTTTGGGTCTGCGCAAATCAGGCGTGGGCGTGGTTCTTGACTCAGAGATGCCGCATTTAATAGGCATCCATAACGATGTTACCACAGGAGTGACCCTTTACAGCCTGAAGGAGGGTGAGACCAGAATTGGCAGTGAGGATGCGGATGTGGCGCAGGACATCGAGTTGGCCGGCGATGGCATTCGAGCGCAGCACTGCAGCATTGTTTTAAAGGGCGGAGTAGTCACTCTGCATCCCTGGCCTTTGGCTCAGTGCTGGGTGAACGCCCACCTTATTGACGAACCTAAGCAGATCTCGCAGGGCGATATAATATTGTTGGGCCGAACCAACATTTTCCGCTTTAACAACCCCGCCGAGGCAGCCAAGCTCAGGAAGGATTTAAGTCGATCGCAACTAGACATGTCTCGGCTGTCTTTGATTACCTCGTCCAAGGAGAACTTGCTAACCTGCAGTATATACTCGGATGAGGATGGGGCATCGCCGTATAAACGACCAGAGAGACAGTATTATCCCCAGCGTCCTATGTCGCGAGATGATCCCGAAATACAAGATGAGAATCGAAAGATTCTTGACACCATTGAAAATGCTTTGAAACAGCTAAATGTGGTAAGTGATTAAAGTTATTAAATGTATAATAAAGTAATACTTACATGAATTTACTCTTAAAAAGGAACGAGTTCAAATGCACGACCAATACAAGACCAAAGTCCGTAAGCTAACCGAAGAACTCATCCGCCTGGAACAGGAGGAAATGGATGGCTTGCAAGTGTTGAATTGCCGGGAGCAGGAGCTAATCGCCCGCAAGGACATGCTGCTGTGGGAGAAGAACAACGAGAAGGTTCAGGTGTGTTCCTCCGATCTAACACGTCTATATGCATGTAACGAATAATTGTTTTTAAAATGAATGGAGTGATCATTGTGCTTGTTACATTGCCTGTTTTTCTTTATTGTTTTTCTTGTTTTGGCTTTATGTTCCTTACGATTTTCTGTTCGTTCCATTTTCGTTTTAGATCGACATTGTGTGTAGACAAATTTCAGCGTTTCAGACGCAGCTCGACTCTAAGAAACGAGATTTCTCTGAGTATGTAGCGAAAGAATTGCAGGAACTGCAAGATTGTGGCAAACTGGACGAGGTTTGTTCGTTTGTTTAGAAATTCTTTGCCCTAGATTTTAGATTAGATGATAGTTAGCACACATAAAATAAAACGATTAACAAATGTATTCTGTGTTCACAGATGGGGATGAAGATTGAAGAGGGCACTCCCCTGAACGATGAACTGCTATTGCAGGTATCGGATTCCTTGGATATGTTTGCAGCACAGTTTATAAAGGATACAGTGCGAAGAAATGTATGTATAAACAAGTATCAATAAAAATATTTATTAATAATTAAACCATTTCAGAACGAAGAAATCCGAAAGTTGGACGAGCAAATAGCCGAAAAAGAAAGAATACTCAATGCCAGCACTACAAAAATTGCCAAGGTCGATGAAACCATGCTGGAAATCCAGGCGCAGCTAGAGCGCTTGCGTCTGGAACGCGCAGAAAGCGAGGCTGAGGCTCAGGCGATGCGTACCAGGAAGCAGAGCATGAAGCTTCAGTTGGGCAACAAGTCCATGTCCACCTCGACCAGCACAAATGAGGCTGATGATGTGTCCAAGTCAGACACCTACGAAACCTGTGATACCTTCCACACCGCCCAGTCCAACTTGTCGCTCGTCTCATCGCCAACGATTACTGAGGGCCAGCAGTCGCCGCTCAGTAATTGCTCCTGCGATGCAGAGGACGAGGCAGAGGACACGCGCAAGGATGACCTTTCGGGCAGCAGTGAGGAAACCTCACGCACCTGTACCGCCGGTCCCAGCAGTGGAAGTGGAAGTACCAGTGTGGGTATAGGAGGTTCTGGCTCAGCGCCCAGTGCCACACCAAGTTCGCAGGCCATTATGAGCGACAGCGGTGTCTGCCTAGACAGTCGTAATCAGGCTCTCCAGAATGGCCATCTTAACAACTATAAGCAAGGAATGCGAACTAGCGACGAGGATACCGGTTCATGTTCCTCGTGCGAGTTGGGACGCCACTCAGATATGGCACGACCCTACTGTCCACTACACTCGCTTCGCCGTAAGATTGCCGCCCAGAAAGCACTGATCATGAAGAATCTAGAAACGGACTTGAACAAGGTCCAGTTGGATGAACACATTGCTGACCTGCAAGATCTGCAGCGACGCTATATCCAAATGGAGCAGGAAATGCTGCAATCGGTGCAGGATTTGGAAGCACATGCTCAGTGTTGTGCCGACGAGCGATCCGGCATGGAGCGACAATATGAGCTGGCCAGTTCCATTATGCGGTCAAGTGTCATGAGTCCCACTAGCATGGAGGAGTCCACCTCGCAGATCTACTCCCCCAGCATGACAAGGTCATGCCCATCCATGCGCGAGTTTCGTAAGTATTTTGTAGTGCTGTTTATGGGAATTTTAAATATTTAGTAATATTTAATTTACCTTTAGCTGAGGGCGAACATTTCATTACCATTCCGAGTTTTGTGATGCGGGGCGCCGGCAAGCAAACGCACTACGAATACGAGGTTCGCATCGCTCTACCCGATGGAAAATTGAACATTCTGCGGCGATACAGTCGCTTCAGGGAACTGCATCTGTGCATGAAGCACTGTTACGGGGCCAAGGTATGATATTTGGTGAATACCTGGATTTTTCATTAAATAAATTTATTTAATTACCAACTAGATATCTGCACTTCCCTTCCCGCGACGGGAGCTCTTCGCTTCGAACAGCGAGCCGGTGGCAAAGCATCGGCGTCGTCTGCTGGAACTATATTTGCGACGCCTATTCGTCGTGTGCTCGAAGATTCCGCAGTGCCCAATCTACGAGGGACCCGGGGGACCCGGCCTAACACGCGCCTCCCTCGTCCAGCTGTCGTCTTTTTTCAAGAAAGGCCTGTTCGAGAACGGCAAGCACGGGACGGGATAATAGTTAACCTACTGCTGAATTATCTCCTGCCTACAGTGTGTCTTTTTATTTACTTGTACTACCTGTTAAGCTATATGAACGACAACATGGACCTGTTTTGATTAGCTAGCCGAAACTACTGTGTAGATTAATTAGCTGTAAGCCCTATAGCTATGTAAGACCACCAGTGTCCTTTCTAACACCCGAGCATATATGCGACATTTTTTATACCCATTGTTATTAATTGAATCGGAGCTTTATATTGAAATCACTGTAAATGTAACTGCCAGTGGCGATGTTGCAATCTCTTATTTGTACCGCAATCGAAGTGCAAATATGTATTCTATCGAGTTGGAGGTTTGTTTAGATGGTTTGTTGGTGTTTGCGGCCAGTTTTAATTAGTTAATTATTTATGTTTACTAGTTAAATATACGCATAGGTGTACAACTTCCAAAAAGTTATTCCAGTTATTTAGTCTGTGATTACCAACTGAAGTTATAGAACAGAATCCAAGCAAATGAGCGTAACCGAACATTTCACGATCGAGTAATCCAACTGACAAATCTGTAGACTACAATTTCTTAGGTCTAAGCTACTTGTACAATACGAACACTGATGGGTCTAGGTGGGCAGATGTTTAGCAGTAGGTATTAGTTACACTAGCCACTAAGTTCTAGCCCTAAGACGACGCGTCGCAATTATACTAAACTAATTATGAGTACAATTCCCGAAAATGAAACAACATGAAATGTTCAATGTATAAAGCATAGACTAAGTTTACTTATAGCAATATGCTAGTTGAGTTTGAATGGTGAAATTGGTCGATCGATGGATCGATGGCAATAAGAGAAACAATAATAACCTAGATATAGTGAAACCTGATGGATCCGCCCACTCAAATGGCAGTCCCTCAGGGGCAGCCTAATACCGATCTGACAACAGAGTGGTTGCTGTCTTAAAAAAAAAATAAAATACGTAAATATATACAAGGTATTGAACAGAGGTTGTTTTTACTGCTTGGGTCGAGAGTAACATAATATTCAGACCACCACTGTATGTAGAGTAGAGTAATGTATGTAAGGCTTGTAAAATATGCATTGTGTATTTTTACTTTACATTTACACTACATGTATTTTGCTTTTGTTGATAAAGATTATCAACATTAGCTCATTATCTAAGCTTTTGCTAAGTTTATTAAATATTATAATTTTTTAAATTTACTTTGTATTATCCTACAGGTTATATATTTTTAATTCGCTGGTGTTTATATTTTTAATGTCTTTTGAGTGAGCAAAAAATTGAATTTTGAATTGAACGAGTATAATTATGTAGCCAAACAGGGTAACAACCATCTAAAAGGAGGATAGTTGGTATAGACATTCTATTAACATTACAATTCATACCCCTCCAAAGTACTTAAGATTGATGTCGAACAATCCGCCACAGGTGAAACGGAGCTTCAGGTGTTGCATTTGCAAAGAGTATTCCCTCAGACCCATTTTGAGCATTGGATAGTCTTCGGTTGAAGAAAAGCTGTATATTTTGAGGAGAATTCGTGGGATGCTATTGTACTGAATATATATTTTTAATCAAAAACTATACAGTATTAATATAAGGTTGCACTTACAGCTCTGATGCACCATTCATTGTAAAAGCATACCAGAAAAATATTGATTGAGAGTAAAGAAGTTATTCCGATGCGCTCTATTTAAGGGAAAATGATAGTTAACCTAATTAGAACTTACTAAGCTAATTATACTTACGATATTGACAGCAATCTTTCGGATTTATAGATTTAATAAGAGCCCAGTTTATAATGTGTGGAATGGTAAGCCCATTGTAGATGAACAGCAGCGTCAAGGGCACGGTGAAATACATACCAATCTCACCCACCAAATTCCAGATCCTTCCAACCAGCAGTTGATTCCTCTTCAAGGCCACACACAGCTCCTGAATCCTGTCTCTGCAGTTGCATTCCTCTAGTTCTACACAGATCTGTTGGAGAATATGACGCAGCCGAAGAATCAGTTCGTAAGTAAGAAAAACGAACACACAATACTCTGTATTTTTAAGTTGAAGCGTTATTAGGATGATCTCAGTGAGTAATTTATTTGTCCAGTGGAGGAAAGGTCCCAGTCCCACAATGGTAAAGCGAGGCGTAAGGCCCACAATGAGTACCATCCACAAGCCCACTGAAAGAGCCAATCGAAACCGAAAACTCCACCACTGACGTCGTGCACTTAGGCCCTTCGAAGCATTTTCTATATCTTTCTCGAGATCCGCAATTTCCTCATATATTCGTCTAAGGCGGCGAAAGTTTAGCAGCATGTTTAGTTGGTTGCTAGTAGCCAATGCTACCATGATAATCTTTTGGGTCCTTCCCATCACGTTACTAAAATCCTCCGCGTGGAACAGATTAATTTCACTTTGCAGGGCCACAATGTTAGCATGGCACTCATAGATGACCATCAGAAGTATTGCCAATAAGAAGCAGCCATAGCCTGCCACCAAGTAACCTCTTCGACGCTTGTGCAAAGTTCTGGTAAAAAATAGGGGCGGTGGTGTGAGACCGAAAATGGAAAGAACCTGAAGATAAGGACGAGCTGTGGTCAGCAGACGACTTCTATTGGCTTCCATGTCCGGCGAGATACTGTCGTAAAGTTGGCCTTAAACCAGTTTAAAAACACTTAACCCATAATTAGTTCGATAAGATGATCAGAATGGTTTTTGCAGTTAAGAACGTTTTGCTATTGTGACTTAATTTCATTACACTTTAAAAAAAGTAATGTAATGGGTCTTAATAATAGACAGATTAATCTGAAATTTCGCTAATATTTTGTCTAAATTTTTGTTGCGCAAAACCCGGTATTTTAAATTGTATCAAAATAATAATATAACCGCATAAAGTTACTACCATCTAAAAAAGAGTTGTTGAGTAAGAAGTTTTCATTTGTATGACCAATTTTACCCCTCCAAAATTCTTGAGATTGATGTCGAAGAACCCAGCGCAGGTGAAATTTAGCTGCAGATGCTGCATTTGCAAGGAGTATTCCCTTAGACCCATTTTTAGCATTGGAAATTCCTCAGCTGTGGGTAATGCAGCTATTTGGTGAAGGATTATTGTGATGCTACGATACTGAAATATATTTAAAATCGTAAAACAATGGACATAATTTTAAATTAGTGATACTTACAGCTCTTATGCAGCACTCACTGTAAAAACAGGCCAATAGAAGATTGAAAGATAATAAAAGGCTGGATCCAAGTCGCCCTGAAAGGAGTATTAATAAAATGAAATTGTTCAGGCTTTTTTTTAGAGATGTATTACTGTATTGATAGTAATCGTCTGGGCTGAAATACTTTGTAATAGACCAGTTGACAATGTTCAGAATGGTCAGCCCGTTGTACAGGAACAGCAACGTCATAGAGAGGGTGAAGTAAATACCAATCTCACCCACCAACCTCCAGATTTGTCCCACTAGAAGCTGATTCCTCTTCAAGGCCGCACACAGCTCCTGAATCTTCTCCCCACAGTTGCAATCCTCCAGATCAACCTTAATCTGCTCGAGGATATGGCGTGCCCGACGAATCAGCTCATAGATTAAAATCACAAAAAGACAATATTCTGGTCCTTTCAGTTGCAACATTATCAAAACGATCTCCGTCATTACTTGATTTGCCCAATGAAACGAACTTATCCGTCCAATGGTAAACCGAGGCATAAGGCCTATAATCATCACCATCCATAGTCCCACAGCACACGACAATCGGAGGCGCAGGCTCCACCAGTGTCTTCGGCCACTTAAACCGATAGAAGCTTTATCTATATCTAGCTCCAGATTCGCAATATCCTTGTAGATACATCCCAGACGGCGGACATTTAGCAAAATGTTTAGTTGGTTGCACGTGGCCATGACCACCACAAGAAGTTTCTGCGTCCTCCCCAAAACTTTACTGAAGTCCTCCGCTTGGAACAGGTTAACTTCCTGGTGTAGTACCACGATGTTAGCGTAGCACTCATAAATGACCATCAGGAGCATTTGAAACAGGAAGCAGCCATATCCTAGTATTAAGTATCCTCTGCGCCGCCTGTGCAATGTCCTTGTAAAAAACACAGGAGGAGGTGTGAGTCCAAATATGGAAAGAACCTGAAGATAGGGACGAGCTGTGGTCAGCATACGACTTCTATTGGGTTCCATGACCAGCGGAAGGCTAAAATATACTGGCAGAAGTTGTTGGGGTGCGTGTTAACCATGTTGGAAACAATTTTTCCTTAATTAGTTTAATTACGAGATTAAAGCTAAGATGTTTTGATACGATATTAAGTAGACTTCCAGTATAAATTAGTTTTTTCATTACAAACATTCTTTATTGGTTTATAAATAAAAATGCGCTTTTCGGTTTTTATTCATTTTACTTTTAGAAATCATTAACTTTCGGTATTTTCGAGGAATTTGTATAATAAGTAGATATAATTTAAGGCTTAGCAATCAGAAATAAAGTGATCTATCAAGAGAAATGTGTCAAAGAACACAACAAATTATTCTACAATATGGCTTATATTATCGGTATATTTTAATTGGGCAAAACCCTGAATTTTAAACTGTATTAAAATAATTATATAGCCGAATATAGTGACCACCATCTGGAACGAGAAACAAATACATTAGATTTTAAATTAATATTTTGGTTTATATAGCATTTCAAACCCCGCCAAAGTTTTTTAGATTTATGTCGAATAATCCGCCGCAAGTGAAAAGTAGCTTCAGGTGTTGCATTTGCAAAGAGTATTCCCTCAGACCCCTTTGTAGCATTGGAAGTTGCTCAACTACAGGTAATTTAGCTATTTGGTGAAGAATGTATGTAATGCTTAAGTACTGAAATAAAAAGGGTAGTAAAATTTAAGATACAAAGTTTAACAGACATACTCACAGCTTTTAGACAGCTTTCGCAATAATAGCTGACCAACAGAAGGTTGATCGCTAATAAAAGACTGGCACCAACTCTCACTAGAAAAAGAATAAATTAATAAAAGCTCTTAATTACTTTTAAGAGGAGCTAACTGTATTGACAACAATCGTTGGGATTAGCATATTTTATTAACATCCAGTTGATAATGTGCAGGATTGTCAGTCCGTTGTAGAGGAACAGCAGCGTCATAGACAAGGTGAAATATATGCCAATCTCACCCACCAACCTCCAGATTTGCCCAAGCAGCAACTGGTTCCGCTTTAGAGTTACACATAACTCTTGAATTCTTTCGCTGGAGTGGCAGATCTCCAATTCAACCTGAATCTCCTCTAGGATATGGCGCACTCGAAGAATCAGCTCATAGACCAATAACACGAAAAGACAATACTCTGGTCCTTTAAGTTGTAACATTAAAAGTATAACCTCCGTGAGAAACTTATTTGCCCAGTGAAGAAAGGGTCCCAGGCCGATCAATATTAAAGGTGGAGCCAATTTCACAAGAAACGCTATCCATAAACCAATGGAGACGGCCAAACGGAGTCGGAAAGTACACCAGTGTCGCTTTCCATTGAAACACCTGGAAATATCTTCTATTTCCGCCTCTAAATCAGCAATATCCTCATAGATTTCACCAAGGCGTCGAAAGTTCACTACCATATTTAGTTGGTTGCATATAATCATGGCCACCACAATAATCTTTGCCGTTCTTCCCATAACATTACTGAAGTCTTCAACGTGAAATTGATAAAGATGCAGCTGCAGGGCCATAATGTTAACATAGCACTCATAGATGACCACCAGAAGTATTGTAAAAGCAAAGCAGATATATGCTGCCTTAAAGTAACGCTGTTGACGCTTGTCGAGGGTTTTGTCAAATAAAATTGGAGGAGGTGTAAGTCCGAATACCGAAAAAACCTGAAGGTAAGGACGACCTGTGGTCAGCAGACGACTGCGGTTGGCTTCCATTTCTACTCAGGTGTTGAGAGACACTGTTCAAAGCACCTGGAATTACTAAGAGAATAAATTGGCTCGTAAACACTTTCCATTAATTGCTTACATAAGATAATCATCAGGTTTTCCCAGTTTTAAAACTTGTCAAATACAAATGAAGTCTCTTATACCATACTCTACTTTTGAAGTCTTTTTGAAGTATATTAAAATCGGTTAGCTATTTTATTTATTTAAAATGTGTTTAAAATGGTTAATTTTGATTTTATTAGCCGCCATTCTTGTATTTATTCTCAGCAATTGCCTGGATTTTAAACTGTATGAGAATAATGATGTAGCCCAGGATGGTGATAAGCATCTATAAACATAAACTATTAAATAAGAAACTCTATATATCATTATATTTTACCCCTCCAAAGTATTTTAAGTTAATGTCAGAAGAATCCGCCGCAGGTGAAGAGCAGTTTCAAGTGCTGCATCTGCAAGGAATACTCCCGCAAGCCTCTGGTTAACATGGGAAAGTTAGATACTGCAGACGTGCTTGTGATCTGATGTAGGATTCTTGGAAAGCAGTTGTACTGAATATATATAATTTAATATCAATCAAGGGAAATGGAAATATATTTTCAAGTAAACTTACTGCATTGATGCACCGCTGACTTAGAAGGCAGGCCACCAGAAGGTTTATTAACAGTAAAGTGGAAGTAAAAAATCGATCTAGAAATTATAATTAACGTTATATATGCATTAACTTTCAATTATGAATAATATCAAACCATATCGACAGCAATCATTATCGAGGAATGTATTTATGTAGGCCCAGTTGACCAAATGAAGTATAGTAAGTCCATTGTAGATGAACAAGAGCATCATGGTCAGGGTGAAGTAGCTCGCCAGTTCACCCTCCAGTCTCCATACGCGTCCCATAAGCAGCTGATTTCGTTTCAAAGCCACACACAGAGCTTGGAGCATGTTCTGTTGATGACAGTCCGCTAATTCCTCCTGCAGCTGAAGAAGAGTATGGCGCAATCGTAGCACCAGTTCATGAATCAGGAGAACAAATACGCAGTACTCCAGAGCCTTGAGTTGTTGCATTAGCAAGACGAACTCGGTGAGAAACTTATTTGGTTGGCTGACATAGGGACCCATTGCATAATGGGTAAGACGGGGCATTGAGCCAATCAACAAGATCATCCATAAGCCAACGAAATAAGCCAAACGGGAGCGGAAACTGTAGCGCTGCCTTTGACCACCGAAACACTGAGATGCCTCATCTATATCAATTTCCAGACTTGCAATATCCTCGTAGATTCCACTGAGGCGACGATAATTAATCAACATATTAAGTTGGTTGGCAATGGCCATGATAGAGTACAGACTCTTCTGAATGGTACCCATCACTCTGGTGAAGTCAGCTAAATGGTAATCCAAGACTTCCTCATTTATGGCTTTGATGTTGAAGTAGGTTACAGCGAAGACCACCAAAAGGATCAAACAGGCATAGCAGGCATATCCAGCCATCAAATACCATCTGAGTCGTCTGTGAGAGGTTTTACCAAAACTTTGAGGCGGCGGTGTAAGGCCGAACACTGAAAAGATCTGGAGATATGGAAAGGCTGTGGACAGCAGACGGCTTGTTTTGGCCACCATGTTGTATGATGTATAAAAACCAACTGAAGAGCTTCACTTAAGGATAACATAATAAAAACTATGGCTTTAGAATACCTAGACGTCTAGCCATTAGAGGTATATTAGTTTTGAATAGAGTTTGAGTTCTCATTTAAAAATATTTTGAATATCATTTAACATTTAGGATATTTTTGCTATTCTAAGTTTGTATAGCTTATAATCTACTTTCCTTAGCTAAAACTCAATTAAATTTTATCTGATGTATCAAAAATGTATGTAGAAATTGTTATAGTTTCCAATATTTTCTAATATAACTGGTATTCCAATAGGTTCTAATTGAATGTGTACCTTTGCCTGTTCACTTACCTAATTATTCAATATGCCAAGGCAAGCACATTTCACTAATTAGCAAGATAAGATGTGGGCTATGATCCATGAGGGGTTGCTTGTTGTTGGGGGTTCCGTTTGGTGTTCCCCTGGAAGATTTCTATCTTGGTGCCTGGCCAATTTCCACGTCATAACGCTGGTAATTTCCATATACCGTTCCATGCAAATGTGGGTTAAATTGTTTTTGTCTTTGGCCAGCAATCAGCATTGTCTTTCGACGATTGCATGTGCATCCACACATTTCCATCTCTCCTCCATCTGTCGCTTTCAATTGCTCCATTTTCTTGCTTCATTTTCCATTTTGTGCACATAATTGCACTTCTTGTGAGCCAAAGTGGGCAAACATCCAACGTCACCATCACCATTGCCACTATTCACATCCTCATCCACTCGCAAGCTGATGCTCCCATCCAGCACAAGCCAAATCAAACGAAAACACCCCCTTGTTCAATCCCCAACCGCCAGCTAATCCCGTGCTGGAATTTCCCTGGGATCCTGGGATACACATGCACACACGAAGATTCGGATACGGATGAGGGTTGCCGGCGCGATGGCAAGACATTGACGGGATTAAGTGTCCTTTTTAATTTTAAACTACTTCACTTCACTTTGCACAGTCAATGAGTGCGCTGCACCTTCTCCGCATCCTGATCCTTCTTTGGCCATAGCTCGGTTAGGCTTCCCCTTGCTTTCTTTTTTCCCTTTTTTTTTATTTTTTGTTACTTTGGCCATGTATGTTTCTTTTTCGAGTCCTTTTCTTTTAAGCTTGATTAAGCACTTTGTGTAACTCTATGACATGGACATGCATTTGCATGCTGGACTCCGTGCCAATGGCATTTTTAATTTGCCATAGCAACATACTCTGATCCTGGTCCACTTTACACCAGTGTTGTCGCTTAGATATTCTGAAGGAGTACAGCTAAATAAAGAATTAGTCATATGTAAAATATATAATAAATATATTTATTATTATTATTGTAATGTGAATCTTACTTTTCCATTTTTGATTTGCTGGAAAATGTTGCTTGTGTTAATCAAGAGCTTAAAAAATGTTTCGTAAAACATTACTTTCTATGAAATTAAATATATAACGAATTAAAAATATATTTAACATAGTAAAATGATATAAATCCTTAACATAAAAGAATTTATCAAAAAAAAATCCAAATTGCCATTGGTTCCATGACACTCAACTTCGAGAGCAGCACAAATTGCATGCATTAGCATTGTCGCTGGTTGGGGAGGATGATGAGGTGACGAAGTGGGATGTGCCATAGATCCTGGAAAAGTGGCGATGGAGACTCCTCATTTATTATGCAGGACAGCGAAGTAACAATGTCTTTGGATTATTGTTTCCTCCCTGCCGCAGCAAACAATTGAAATACAATAAAATTAAATAATTTTTAACAAGCCACAGGAAAACGGAAGTGCTCGTCCATACTCACACAGACCCGCAGATTTACATGGCCTTAATAGCCAATCTCTGGCATTGGCGCGCAGATAGTCCGTATATAAATCGCTTTTTTCCCCTGCATTTTATCATTCTTATTATAAATATATTGTGTATTGTTTAAATTGCATTTAACTTTAACATAAAAAAGAAATGTGTTTTTTTTTTTATATATACACATATTGATATATTTTATTCGCAAAGGTAAATAAATCCGCATAAAGGCAATGTGTAAGTTGCACGTTGGCTGCATGCGAGTGTCTGCGAGCAATAAACAAATACAATTTTATTATTTATTATTTATGTATTCATGGCCATTAAACGGATATCCGTGGCCATGGCGCATTAAATTGCACTGCCCCCCCTGCCCACCTTTCCACTCAGCATCTACTTCACCCGTTACCTTTTCATGACTTACAAGGACTCTTCCCCTATTTTCAATCCATAAATCGGATCACGTGCCGTCGTCATGGAGACAGGCTTAATGCATTTTTATCTCATATCCTGATAGATAAGTAGCTTCAAATTTTCACACAAACAGAAGAAAATAAGCTTAATTATAAAAAATTTAATATTTCATTCAAATCACAAAAGAATTAAATACAAAGTAAATTTTAATATTAAAAAACAGTTAAAATAAGTTGATAATGCCTGATATTGTTTATATAACTGTGCAAGTTGAAGTTTCTTCTTTTAGATGGTTTTAAGCATTTACTTTTGAATTTCATCAAAAAGTATTATTTATTTTAGTCATGTTGCATGAGTACCCTTTCAATTTAATAATTTCAGAGAATATATACTGCGAAAACCTCTACCCGTATTCAGAATTCCATCCGAAAAAGCGCTGGCGAAGCCAAATAAAACTTGCAACGAAAAATATTTTTCTTAACACCCCCGAGTTCTGTTAGTTTTATGTAAATACTTGTTATATCGAGAATTTTAGCAAAAATGCATACTAAATATCAGAGGGTGTCTAAAAAATACAAAACTTTGATACACCGTCTGTAACAAAGTTTGATGTTTTGCCAACTGCAGATTAAATTCCGACCAATTAACAGTAATGCTATTATAACTTAAAATTTTAGTTGAAAAACTAAACATTTCTCAACGATTTAAGCGATTGAAACTCTCTAATTAATATTTACCCACAACCTAATACCACCTGAAGCATGTGATAAGCTTCGGTTTGGGCCATAAGTATTTCGTTATCTAACGGAAAATCGCTTGCCAGGATGCGAAACAAATTTAAGGAAGTATCAATTGTTGGGGATAAAGAACCTGGCTGAATAGCAGCGTGTTTGCTGCTCGTACTAAGATACGGAGCTCTCCTTTCAACGTTTCTAGCGCTTGTGGTTGGCGGTTTTCCTTGACTTGGCACTGAAAGTCTGTCTTTTGCTATCAATATGTAATCAATGCTTTCAAATAACTTTGCCATTCGCAGCAAGGCTTTTGTTTTGTACAAATCAGGAGACGGAGCTCCGAACACCGTTGCCTGGAGTTGGGTAATGCCATCACCTAAGCCACCAAGCCGTGCGAAACAATGGAGACTTGGCAGTGGAATGTTTGTTGGAATGGAGCATAGTAGAGAGTTTGGAGCTGGGTCTTGGGATGGCGTGTGTCGCCTGCCTGGGGCGCACAAAAGGGATTTCAATAATACGCGCACAATCTGTGCTGAAAGCTTAAACAATAAAAGTGAAAATTCCACCAGAGCCTCTAGATGGGAGGGATATGGGATATGAATACTATTGTGATGTGAGATCCTTGCACTAGGGATATAGATAAAACTGAAACTTAGGAAAATCGTTTATAACCTTAGGTGTTACTTCTGCTATTGGCGATGAATGATTGACTTGCCTTTACGTTTATGATTTCCAACTAGTTCTGCCAACATAATAATATGATTTCTTCAATGAAACTTCTTCGCTAACTTTTAGTCTACATTTTTCTGATGCACTTTTCATTTAATTGCTATATTTTTCCAAGTGTATTATATCATACCTCCAACCAACTCACGAGTCTCACGAACTTGAAACATGGTCCTCTCTAGGAGAACTTAAAGTTGCGCTTGAAAGAAACAGCACAATGCGACATGTGTAGCCGTGTTTCCGAGTATCCCCGTATCCAAGTATCTTCGATGTTGCCAGCCAGACAATGCAGATTAGCCCCCAAAAAGGGGATTCCGATTCCACCCACACACTCGAGACCATCTCGTGAGAGACAAAAGCACTCGGCTGGGATTTTAATGAATAACAACATGAAGAAGTGCGGACTGGGCCGCCGGAGTATAAGGCACCCGCAATCCACATCAATTACATTGCGGTTGGCTGCCATTGCCAGGGACACTCTCACAATTTCACAATCTCACAATCACAATCGAGTGCCAGGAGCACGTTCGCATATGAATATGAAATGCTGAAGCACATGGTTGCGGCCATATCGATGAAAATCAATTCCACTGTCATTTGGGAATCTCTCAATTGGCCGAAGCAGCTGAGAAAGTTCTGTGTTTGTGGCACTGAATTGTCAATATCAGCTCAAGTTGATTTTGCTCCATTATCTGTGCAATTTGGAGCACGAATCGACGAATCGACGACTACTGCAACTGTCGGTTTCGATCCGAAATACATTTTTGACCTCTTCGCCCGAGGCTTATTGGGCAAATTAGTTTTGCCTGATTGCAAATTGTACATGGAGGCATCTCATCCTTCTGCCTCCTTCTACTTCTCCATCTGACAGAACGTAAATTCAATGTCCTGGTATATATGTTATGGTCTGCCTGCCTGCCAGCCAGCCAACATTTTAAACCAGGCCCACATGGACTATGAAGGAACCAACCACCACCCTGCTGATTTATGTTTATGGGCTTGGCAAATATTTGCGCCACTTCAAAAGCATTATGATGATTATTAGCATTGTTTGCCATCGTAGTAAAACTGTCATACGTGTCTGGCTGACTGTTGGCCATACATTTGCAGTCGAACAATATAGAAAAAAGCTGAAAAGAGCATCGCCAAGTGGAGCTCCGACTGTAGCTATAGCTATAAATGTAGCTGTAACGGACAAACGTGAAACGTGACCGACGTGATGTTTATGCGAAAACATTCCCCCATCATCTGAATAAGTACGATTGCCAGTGTGAGCGCTGGCATTAGCATCCGACATGGGATATATACTTACATATCAGTACAGGCATGCAGCACATCATCATCAACGAATTCCGCTTGCCCCAAAAACGGGAATCGACTAATCGCCAAAGTAAGTCCCAACTTTGGGGTAACCATCCATATAAAGAGGGAACTTGAATCGAAGGCACCGTCTGTCATTGCTGCCTGCTGAAAGGATTCAAAGCCTTCGGGGAAATTTATGCTCGCACACTGAAAAAAAAATAGGAATGTCTATGAGTTTTCATATTGTAAGCTTTACTGTCCCTTGAATAAGCTTTACTGTCCTAATAGCTTCTGAAATATAAGTAATCTATATTCCAGGAAAATGTTGTTTCTTTCAGTGCCCATATGTATACCGCCGGCAAGGTCTCTGTGCCAAAAGTCGCACCACCCAGAAGACAACTGTGTGACAATGCCACGGCTCCAGTTTGGGCCCAAAGCAGAAGTGCCTCGAAAACTTTGTGCCCCCCAAAAGAAGAGCTCTGGAAGAACTTGACGCGCATATGGCTGCACCTACAAGGACAACGAAAACGACACGGAGCAAGACGCCAGAAATCGCACCCCTGCCGCCGACGACAACGCTACCGCTGCCGCCATTTCCAGTGTAAATATTTAAACAATAATAAGTTGGCGGAAAAACGTGGGGAAAACTCTTATGTTGCCAGCGCGGCAAAGTGAGGCAAAAACTTTTGTTATCTTTTCACCATGAAAATAGCACGAAATTGAACAGGAAAACGCCGGCGGAGTCAGGTGAGAAGTGAGAAGCGAGAGGTGTCTGGTGGCATGGGGCAGGTGACAGGTGGCATGGGAGACTACACATCGACCGGTATTCGACAGACAGTCGGGCTGAAAGCATTGCACGTGCACTAATCATCACGGTTGGCGGGCACACAGGGACTTTGGCTGGTGTATCGCCTTTCATGTTTTCAATTAGCGTTAATGTCAGTGCAACGCCCGATGAGCTGGATCTGGGACTGAAAACTATAGTATATCCATTGGCCAATGTTTGTGTTGTGACAATGAACCCAACCCAACCAAAATAAAGGCTTGTTAGCGGACAGGCAGACAAAAGAATATCATATCGCCGTACCCTAAATTTGATGTCTGAAAAACATTGGAGTTTTAAGTTTCACAAAGTTTTCTAAACATTAATGTATTTTGCAGTTTTGTTAGATGAATGTAATTGGGCTTTAAAATACGTTTTACATGTTTTCCAAAGATTATATACATCAAGCAATAAACTAAAATGCTGAACACGACTTTAGATATTGTATTTTTGAAAACTTTCATCTGCACCAGAAGTTATTACAACTCGAAATTAATTTCCGACAGGTTCAATCCATCATTTATGTTCCCCACAGAGCAAACTTCTTTATTCATACCATAACTGCTCTATAAATATTATCAGGCAAAGTCTTGCCTTTACCCCGAAAATGTCATTTGCATAACCGTCAATCATACGCCACGTATGGTGGCTCTTGGTGTTCCACCTTGTTTGTTTCTGCTTCACTGAGTGCGCACACACACACACACACACACACGATGCACAACCACCGCAACCATCTTTCGAAGCCATCGCACCACCAGAACCCTAACCCAGCATATGTTCGATGGCATTGGAAATTTTGCTTCTCGATTTGCGTTTGCGTTTTATTTCGAAATTGAATTTCAGCACTGATTATATTTTTTCTTCCTTCTTTGCAGAACAACACCACATTGAAAATGGAATGATTTCGAGGGGGGCTGTCCTGGGGATCCTGGATACTGGGGATGCATTGATTGGGGGACGCCGGGGTTCCCCGTTGTTTGCGCTATACGGTTGCCGGGGGTGCATAAATAAGCGCCACTCAATTATGCAGACTGTGGGCGAAGCAGCTATAATCCTTTATCCTTCTTACCTGCGACGTGTCGATTTGATTTGCTTTGCAATTTATTTTTGAATTGCGCTGACAAGGACACACATCGTGCATATGGTATTTATATAATGTTTTCTTTGACAAAACGCTTTATAAGCTTTATGTAGTGGGGCGTGAATAACGCTTCCCCACTTCTCCACAAATCTTTGCAATGTAATTTCAACATATTTGCCTTCGCACTTCAAGCAGCCCGGCTTTAATTTCAAACGGACCTTTATTGGGGATTTTTCAATTTGCTGTAAATTGAGCTCACAATTAGCTGCTTAATAAGAAATTGGGGTTTTTTCTGCGTCGTCATTAGCATGAATTTAAAACCTTTTCTATCAATGGCAAAAGTTTGGGTCAATGCAAATATTTCATTTGAAGTGACACAGCGTTTGGAAATTTGTCTGAATTTTCTCCCCTGGCTGAGGGCATTTAAATGTGGCCCATTACATTTTATATTGCCATTTGCCTTTGAGGTTTTGTGTGTTACATTTAATTGCGAATTTCTGTTGAAAAAGTTCCACTTCACTCCAGCCTTGCCCCATTTACCCGCTCGATTTTCTTCCTTCATTTCATTTCGGTATACACTTTCTCGCTCGTTCGGCTTCAAATGTTCAACTCATTAAAAAGTGAAACAAAAATGGGTTCGATGGCAAAGGAAGGGGCATGTTTGTCTATTTACCCGACACTGCAGTAATTTCCCAGCAATAATTGGCTTTAAATACGGAAATATGCGAAGGGACAGTTGCGTGTGGTATAGTGCGGCGTACTCCCAATGGTTTTATAAATATTTAATGACTCAACCACAAAAATTGATTGACATTTGATTTAACTGTTTGATGTGCCTCACCGTTGACATTGCGACAGGCCAATTATATGTATTAATTACATTTTTACTGTTGTCCATTCAATGCAGAAATTAATTCAAATTAAGCCAGAGGAGAAATAAAGAAAATAAATAATGATGACTTGAAGTGTAATTAAAAAACTTTATAAAATTATTTAAAAAATGGAATTAAAAACACTTCCGAGCGGAAAACGCGTACCGTCATGAATAATGGCATAAAAAATGCATGCCAATGAGTGCGATGATCTCATCAATGACGGTTGAAATTTGTACAACGAAAGAAAAATGTCCTTCGCCACTCAAGTTGATGGAAAAATGTCAGCAACAGTTGGAGCCGCTAGTCGAAAATGAAAATATAAACGCTTTTGCAGACTTAACTGGGAATGAAGTTAAAATTTCCAACGGAAAATTCCATGTATATATACAGGATTATATGTATTGCTTATGCAATATATATATAGAGCCTGCATTGTACTTTTGCTGGCATGATTTCAATTAAGTTGGCAATTGTTGGCCAAGCAAGCAGCCTCCGCCAGCGGATGAGTAGTTGAGCGTATTCTCATATCCTCCTCATATCGCGAATCAGCATATTTGCTGGACGTGGCTTTAACCGCCTGGCCGCACATAATTAGTGTCATTGGCAGCGATCCCAGCGAGTGTTGGCCAGCCAGCAAATATAGCGGGCCGAAAGGTAATTTCGAGACCCACGGCAAAGACAATTGCACTTTTGATAAATTGCGGACTGGCAGCAACAGCTGCTGATCTTATTACCGATGTCGTTAATGAAATATTTCCCAGGCCATTCGCGGTGGCGTATGTGTGTCAGCGCCAAGTATTAATACGAAATATTGCGTATACGCACAGTTAACAGCTGAATTGTGTCAAGGCTGAATGCGGATGGTAAATAAGCATGACAAAAAGTTAATGGAAGCACAGTTTAATACACTAGGCTTAAAGAAAAATATTCAAATAAATTCATTTAATAGTCATAATCAGCGAAATTACGTTAAAAACCTTTTAAGCTATCAATTTATCAGGCCTTTCCTTTTTAAAGTCGAGTTAAAATAAAAAGTGCTTTAAACTCGAAACGTTTTATGCTCCTATATTTTAGATCCTCCACAGATTTTTAACTATTATGGTCAAATGATAAATCTAAAGCAATAAATTATATATTTTTGTTTATAATGATTCTAATAATATAATTTTATTACCATAATTTATTTCCTATAATGTTTTTAAAGCAATTTAACAACATTTATTAGTTTATTGGCTTTATTTGACTTGCAACTAAGAATATTGAATTAGACGAGTATTATTAGTTTGTCGTCGCCGAAGTAAGCAACAACTTTTTTTGTGGTTTGAGGTTAGCCATTTTGCCCCAGAAAAGAACTTTCCAACTATTTGTCGCTTCTCCTTTCATTTTCCATTTTCCTCTGTGTTTCCTGGATTTTTCCTGAATTTTTTTCCCACCGAATGCATTGGCAATAAATCGAAGCGGTCGTTCACATTGAATTGGGGGGGTTTATTGGGTGGTTGGTTAACCCAAATGGCAACAAATTAGAGCTCGAAATGTTTTCAGCATTTGTTCTAATTCTTCGCCTCGCTGCCGGTTGAAAAATCGAAGTCACTCTCGCTGCCGGCTCCCATTGGGGGTGTGGCTGGAGAGGTGACGGCTACAGGAGAAGGTCCTTGATTTGCGGCCGGGGTCGGTTTCGCGCTTGAGCTATCATCCGTTTCGCTGCTGTCAACGAAATTAACGCGCTTCTTCTTCTTCAGCTGCTGCTGCTGCGCATCATTAGGCGCCGCTTGTTTGTCTGTCGTCGAAAGTATCGATGTGGGTTTGAGGGGTTTATTGGTGGCTGGCTGTTCCGGCGGAGCACTGGTTACTACAGCCGGACTTTCTTCCACTTCCTGTACCCCTTCTGCCTCCCGTTCGCTTACTGGATACGCTTCCTGCTGCTGCTGCATCAGTTGCTCTTGTCCTGGCAGTGGCTCCTCCTGTTGCTGCTGCTGCTGATCCGGTTGCTGTTCGTAGGCACTGTAGTCATAATTTTGCACCGCACTGGCATCGTACTCCTGACCTGCATAGCTACCATCTGGCGCATATTGAGCGGCATTGGGATCGGCTATATACTGGCCAGTTGCCTCATCGTATATATAGCCCGGATAGGCGTTGGGATCATAGCCGGTCCCATATTGCCCAGCCTCGTAGTTGCCGTAATCAATATTGGAGTACTCCTGCGGCAGGACCTCACCATTGGCATCTCCTGTAGTTGCTGCAACTTCGGGTGGGACAGCAGCACCAGCAGCAGCGGCAGCAGCAGGTACATCTGCAACAACTGCTCCCGCATCCGTAGTTGTTGTTGCATACGGCTGATAGTCTGTGGGATTTCCGATTTCGCTGTAAAGCGGCTCCACTTTTGCGTTTGGCTGCAGGTTGGCGGAATCGATGCTGGCATAGATGGGCTCACTGGCATCGCCATAGCTGCTGGCATCGTATTGCCCGTAACCGGACACCTCTGGCTCCACCTGCTGTTGCTGCTGCTGCTGCTTTTGATGTTGATGTTGCTGTTCCACTTCCTGAAGTTCCTCTGGCGATGTGTTGGTTACCAAATTTTCGAAAAATCCCTGCGTGGGTGTGACCGCTGCCGCCGCCATTGCCTCACCTGCTGTCGCAGTCACTCCTGCTCCTGCTCCAGGTCCTGCCCCAGCTCCTGTCAAACGTTCGCCGTAAATGGCATTTTCAATATTCTCAATCGACACACCGGTTTTGGGGTCCTGGCTGCTTGGCGGCGACAATTGATTACCCCTTGCCAGCTGCTCATCAACCGCAGCCGCTGCTCTTTCGAGTGCCGCCCGGCTGGCTTTGACTTCGTCCAGCAAATCGTTGCTGATGCCAACTTTGCCACTAACCGCTGATCCAGCCTCGCTGGAACGCACGTTTAAAGGGCGTTTGTCTTCGTGGGGATTGGGTGTGTGTATGAGTTTGAGTTTGCCATCCTGCCATCCTGACGACTCATCGATTTTCAGCTCACCGAAGTATGCTTCAAAGTCGTGCGATGGCTGATGTGGCTGCTGTACCTCTCGATGTTGCTGCTGTACCTCTTGATATTGCTGCTGCTGGCGTATCTGCTTATGTTCTGGCTGATGTTGCTGATGTCGCTGGCCCGGCTCATTATGCCCAACGACAGTTGGTGATTTTTCATACTCGACTTTAGTCACGCGTGAATTTGTCCAGGCATCCAGGTCGCCAACTTCCCCTTGCGGTTGCCCGCCCACATCCTGGCCAGAAGTTGTTCCTGCTGCTCGTCCCGCTTCTCCTCCTGCAGTCGGCAGTTCAGTTAACGTCAGCGAAGGCGACGACGTCTTTGGCAATTTATCAAACGTCAACGAGGATGTGGCCAGAGTTGAGGAAGTGCTGCTCAGTTGCCGCGCAGCCTTCTCCTGGCTGGATAAAGTCGATGTGGGTGTTGCAGGACCTGCAGCTGCTGCAGGAGGATAGTTTCTACTACCCAGCTCCGCCTGATAATCACCTGTCAAGTGGGGCTGCATGCGCTCCGGTAAATCGGCATTCTCATTATCAAAGGCGCGCAGGGTGGCGCGCAAATCGAACAGGTTCGAGGTGCTAAGGGGAGCAGCAGTTCCGCCAAAGAGTTCCGGATAGTAAACAGGATGGCCGGTTGGAATGGGTGTGGGATTTACGGGCGGACCTGCAGGACCTGCTGTGGCAAACTGAGGCGTCAGCAGCATGCCCGCCTGCGTGGGCGTGGCCATGGCAAAGGTCCAGTTCTGTGGCGTTGACTGCGGATTGGTCGTCACCTGCGGCTGCGGTTGCACCAGCACCGGAATCACTCCGCCGCCGGTGGGGGCCGTCGCCGCTGTCGTCGTCGTCTGCTGGATGCATCGATATGTTTGATTCTGGACCAATTTCGCAAAGTACATTTGGTATTGCAGCTGTTCAAAAGGGGAAAGAAGGATATAGGTTAAGGATTCGACTGATACACTTAAAAAAATTCTTGTAGTTTCACTGGGAAAACAGTAAAGACAGAGAAAACTATCAGGTTATACAGGATTTCATAGATATATCTTATTTTTCAGCTTTATTCAGCTTGAGAAAGATTTCTTGAAGTTCCAAGTGTGGTTAACTTTAAATTTCCTTTAGGACTCACCTTCATCATTTTAAGCCGCTCGCTCCTCTGCGACATGGCTGCCGTTTGCTCATCGATGCGCTCCAGCATGTGAACCAGCTTCTTGTTGCGCTCGTTGCGTTTGGCTTGCTCCTCGAGGAACTCCTGGTACTTTTGGCGGCTCTTGTGGCGCACCGACTTGTCGCTGAAGTACAGAAATCCATTCACCTTTTAACGGCAAATGAGGGAGAATGACAAAAGCTACTTACAGCTCGCTGCGCTTCTGCAGGACTTTATCCAACTTGTGCTCCAGCTGCTGGCGATTATCCTCGCTGCGAGAAAGGAAATCAAGGAGAGAGATGTAGTAAGTCGGGTCAAAGGGCATGAATATGATTCGTAAGCTGCTGTACATATGCACACGAAAGGCTTAGGAAAAGCTGACAAACACAAATCAATGGACTTGGTCTTTGTGCGATTCAATGCTAGCTGCAGGACATTTTAAATTATCCATAAACAGGGTATCAAAGTAAAGTACTTGGGACTCAAATGCTTAGTTAGTTGTGAAGTCAAAGGGAATCATTTGTGGGTAAGTTTTATTTTTCTAAGAGTATTTTGTTATGTTGTTTTACCTGATTGAGCTATCATATGTTCTTTTTTTAAACTTGTTGAATTCGAAACAAACTTTAACTTATTGCATTACCAACTCAAACTTGCACGGGAACAAATTTACGTTATAAGTTAATTAAAAACTTGTCTAGCAAGGCTCTCTTGTTTAATATTAGATGGCCTACATAACCTTGTGACTTTAATTACAATTATGTAACACCAACTTTTAATAAAGGTGGTTCTTAATTAAGATATGAAATTAATGGTTTTGGTTATTTAATTTTTAATGTCCTTTTATCGTTGCAATTAATTCCTAATTTATGACGACATTGACTATATTTATTAAACCCAAAATATTTGATTAATTAAATGATAGGATTAGTTAAAAAGTTTTAACAATTAAAGTATTTGGCTTATTTACGGCTTAAATATGATAGCACTTAAACATAATAAATGCCAATTTATTTGTTTAAAAAGGGTTTTAAGGACTCTAAATTTTGTTGTAGTTTGAGAAAAGTTTTAATTTTATTTCTCGATCTTCTCACCTGCGCTGGAGTTTCTCCTGCAGCAGCTCCACCTGCAGCTTGTAATTCTCGAGCTCGGCTTGGGGAAACATGGCTTAAAAGAGGGCTATCCTTCCGTTCTCTGGCCGGAACCACAACGAACTTTACCACTTGGCTGCTCTGACTCAACTGGCCATATGCACTATGATTCTACCCGCTATTGACACAGTTTGCTTGGCACGGGGATATTAATGCGACAGTGTGTTCTATTTTTGAGGCACGTTTATTTGAATAGCCGCATTAAATACGTGTTCGTATGGGTGATTGGCATTTGTTTTGTTGAGTCGCGTTGTCATGGCTGCCCGGTTTCTTGGTGGTTCCTTTGCGTATTTATTTTGGTGGTTGCTTGGCATTGGCCAGGGACACTTGGCCCTTATCGATTTCCCTTGTCGGCTGTCGGCTTTCCCAACGTGCCACGCATTGAGCAGCTCGGCAGAGGCAACTAACTTTCGATTTTTCGCCCCATGAATTTTACATTCCAGTGTCCTTGTTGTTTTTGGTCCGGCCTGTGTGGTATACTAATTACACGCCCGGCAAGTAGGTCACTTCTTTTTGAACTTCGTCCAGCTTACTGTTCTTGGCTTGACTGAGTCCCAAAAATAAAAAAAAAAGAAACGTGGAGAGTCGTCTGGGGTCACCGGACCCGGGTGGGCCATTTATAATGCATTGCACGGGATTCGCCTGCACGAGTGGGCCCAGCTTCTTCCATTCCTGTTCTGATGAGTGTAAACACATGTTGTTGTCGCACACTCGCAATAGGGCTTACACTGGGGAAAAATATGTATAAGAAGTGCTGCATTCGGTGGGGAAACCAAACTACTTTCGTGCCTAGTATCTATTTTATATTGATACATTAAACACATAACTTGAATATTCATTATTTAACTTGTTTTACAACGATTTCTCTCAGTGTAGACCCTACCCCTTGTGCTCGTCCAACCGTGTGGCACCTGAATGTGAATTAATGGTAGTGGCGTCTATCACTCCCCCGGCCGCAGACAACAACACAGGACCTCTCGCACACGCTGACATATTCACACGCTCACCACGGTGTCCTGTATGTCCTGCATGTCCTGGCTGCCATCATCAGCGTTCCCAGCGTCAGCAGTGACCACTCCCGTGCTCCTAGCTCCTGCCAGAGCCACCGAAGCCACAGCAACTCCGTGTCCTGCTTGACTTGCTCCTGGCATTGGCTTCGCTCGTCCTGATGCTTGGCTTCTCCATGTGTGGCACATGTATGTATATATGTAGTATATGCCGGCGTTGTCACGGTGTCGTGGTTGCGGGCCGCAATATAAAATTTTTGGTTATTTACATGTAGGGGATAACAAACGGCCGGGAGAGGGGTATCCTGTCATATGTGCGGCAGGTTATCTCCGCGGTTCCTCGTTTCAGGAAACAGAATGCTGATGGGTCAGCGGGCCACAGCAAGAGCAAGAGTGTAAAACGAATCAGGGGCTCTGTTTCAAAGGGGGATGTATATTCCTTCAACAAAACTTTTTTGAGCTAAGTGCTCAGAGACTACATAAAATGAAAAAGATTAAATTAAATGTGATATTTAACAGGCATTTGCCCCTTCAAACGCCTTCCTTGACCTTTACCAAGGGTTAAAATGAACTTGTTGCCAAGCGACGAGGACCACGGACAATTTCTCCTTGTCGCTACCAATTCAGGTAACTGAAAGTCGCGGCATTCTTTAAGCGTTGGCTAAAAATACTGAAAGTGCATATTTGAAAAGGTAAAAATATCGCAATAAACTTGTGTTGGTGGATATATCGCTTGTGGGATACTCTTCTTTTATAAGAGTTAAAAAAGAATTGTTGGAAGTCGTTTAGGTCCTACAAAGTTTAAAGATATTTTTATCAATTTATCATTTGTCAGAAAGCTCTTGAAGTAAAACAAAAAGCAAATCATCTTTCACTATAAATATTCTTAAATGAAAAGATAATTCTTTAGGTAAGTCTCTTTTCTTTTTATACGTATACCCTTGAATTCTTTCTTCGTATTGCCAGTTCTTGGAAAAAACCTCTAACAAGACAGCTTAGACAATTGCGACAGACCCGGATGTCTGGCAAGGTTGAGCACCTGTCTTTTGGACTAATATTTACATATTTATTATTTAGCCAGAACAATTTGCGACAGGACCTTGAGGATATTAATAGCGGGGCAACGTGGCGTGTCCTGGCACCCAAGTAATATCTTCGATTGGAAATTGGCTGAGTGCGCGCAAGGATATCAATGGAAAGTTTGTCATAATCGAACATTTGCATTGCAAAAAAAGGGGGAGGAAACCTAAATGGAAATTGAAATTCTTTTTCTTCATGCTGAAAAGACTTGCTTGTGGCGAGCGTGGGCGATTTATGTGTTTGACTTTACGCTGCAGTTGGGCAAAGTGTATGTGAGTGCTTATCAGGCGTTGCACAGCGTACTTTTTTGGGGCACTTAATTTTGGCTGGCATCCTTAACGGACGGGGAATGGCGGCAATGCGCGACCCGGGAGCTTCTTCTGCCGATTTGCAGTCAATGAAGTAGAAAACTGAAAACTTTTTCTTTTCGAGTCTATTAAAAATAATGGCAACTGAAAGCAGAAGAGCCCGCCAAGTGCGAATTGCTGCTCCCCATGTGTGCGTTTTTTCCCAGTCCCATTCTCCAGACTCCCCGTCTCTTTCATGCTCCACTCTTGCTGTCTCTTTCTCTATCTCTGTGCGCGTGTGTATGTGCGAGACATTGGCGGGCATTAAATTAATGTCCGCCCTGCCATTTTTCACTAGGGCCTGGTCGCCAGACTTTGCCGCCCGGTGCATTGACCACTTTCGGCGGTTTTCCTTTAAAGCGCTCTATTACCCTCGCAAAAGATCGGGGCTATTTGGCCATTCAGAGTACCTACTGTTTAAGGGGTTGTATGAGACTAATGAAGTTTTTGATCTATTATTAAAAAATGTTACAACTCAGCATACGTTCAGCTCTGAAAGCTTACAATATTAAAGCAGAAATGTATCTCTAGTTGAGATGTTTCAGAATGATGCAAACAAGTTCCTAGATAAGATTTCATTTGTTAATGTTATATTAAAGAACCTTTAACCTTTAACTAACATTTTTATTCTTTAACTTCACAGGATAATCGAAGATTCGTAACCATATCCATTATAAGGCCAAACAGGTCCATGTACTTATTTTATTTTTAAACCCTGACGCTGCGGGCATGCTGGGTAAATGGCCGGGAATGGAGTCGAAGAGCAAGCGGCGTGCAGGTTTTGCGGTTAATGCGATAATTTAATTGTAATGCGGGTCTGGAGTCCTGCGCGCCAATAATTTAACTTGCAATCAGCGCGGCATTTATTGGGTTAAACATATAAGCCAAGAGCCCGGGGCGAAGACGCATACTTGCATGCCCAAGGAGTGAATGAACCCCAAGGATACACAGATACTACTACAGCTACAGATACAGATACGCAGCGAAAGGGAAAAATGAAAGAGGAGGACTCGAAGGAGCAAAAGGATGGCAAATAAATTCAACGATTTCTGTTCTGTGCAATAAGGGGTCTGACGCAGTCAGTTGGGCATTTTCGCACGTAAGCCACGAGGACGATGACAGCAATGAAATATGCAAGCCAGGTCCTGAACCCCAGCATTTTTCCAAGGAGGCATACATGAGTCACAACGAGTGCTGGAGGGGAAGCTAAAGCCGGGTTGGGATGAGTGAAAATCCGAGTTCATGCCAAAAGCCAAACATTTATAAACTCCCACATCCTAGGCAACAGTTGCCGGGGTGAACTACAGGGATTGGCTTTTATTATTGTGCTTTGGCCAGCACTCATTTCGTTATTAGTTGCCATGTCCGAAGGAGGACCCACTGAGGAGCAATTGCTTGAGCTTCGGCGCATCCTTCTACTGACCGTTTATAAAAACACTCTGAATCAGCTGATCCTGCAGCAGCGTTCCCAGCGCTTAAATGCCAAGAAACCGATTTCGTTGCCCGCTTCTCTGCGGAGACGTCGCAGTTCGTCGATGGGTGAAAAGGAAAAACCTGAACGTATTCTCATAACGGGCAAGGTCCTTCCCCGTCTGGAGTCCCTGCTGGGTGAACCGGAGAATGATGCCGATCTGTTGGATGAAGATGTCCTGAATGCCTTGAAATTTGAGAGGGATATGGATGCCTTGCGAGCGATTTTCGAAGTGGCCATAAATGATCCGGATTTGAAGGAGAAAAGTTTGACAGATGTTAAGGATTTGGTTTCGGAAGATGAGAAAGCTTCTTTAGAAGATGATAAAGATCTGGATAGGACTTGTCAGAATATAACAATCATGAATTTGCAAATTAATGAAGACCTGAGGTCATTTGACGATGAACATTTGTTGGATATTAAGCCGGATGTGGGTGAAGGGGAGGAAACGGAGTTAGTCGAGGGCAAAGATTTCTTGCCTCAAGAATCTAAAGAAGGAGAATTGACTACACAGGGGGATATAGGTCTGGAAAATCTAAGGAAAGCCATATCTGCCTTGGGTGGCAATAAAAGCGAAGAGTCCCAGGCTGCTCAGCAGCTACAGGAGTCCAAGGACGAACTGAAAAAACTTAAAGAAGACCTCGAAACCGAAAAGCATGTTACCATGGAAAAGTTACAGGACCTGGAGGAACGCATTGCCGACACGAAATATAAGCTCCGCTGTGTTTCCAGGGTCAATGACCTTGAGTACAGCTTAGTACAACGATGGGAGGAGGGTCGTCTGGCCCAAGGAACCATTTGGGGTGAAAATGCAGAACGGGCTTACTTACGAGATATTTTGGACATCAAACAGAAGTTGGCACGTGAGGAGCGAGTCAGTGCTGAACTCCGTTCTTTTCGACAACGGGAAATCCTGGAGTTGAAGGCAAAGATTAAGCAATGGCAGGAGCGGTACATAAGCGAAATCCGTCGGGTTGATCGTGAAGCGGAAGCCTGGGAACTACGCATCCTAGAACAGCAAAAGCTGCTTCAGCGGAACCGCGAGATCTACGAAGAACGGATGACCTATGTCCAGGAGTATCGGGCCCAAAAGGAGGAAGAGCAGCGGCTTCTTAATCTCCAGATTCATCGCATTGAGTGCGCTGTAAGACTGCAGGCCTGGTGGCGCGGTACCATGGTCCGACGCGGTCTGGGACCGTTTAAGAAAAAACCCAAACGCGGCAAACGAGGAAAGCCCAAAAAATAAGACACAGGAAGGAAATTATTATCATTTCAAGAAAAATACAATATCTATCTTATAACCATTAGATTTATATAATTAAAATGTATGCTTTCCGTCTTTAATTCCTATAAACCGCTTATAAGATTAAAAATTGATTCTCATTTACCTTTTTTGATTATTTTCCTCGGTGTTCTTTTTGCTGGATTTTTTCCGACGCTTTCCCTTTGCTTTATGGAAATTAACTTGTGACTTAAAACCAATTAAAAGTTGGACGCTCTGCAGTTAACACGTCAGCGGTTGGCTACTGACGTCGCCCTTAATGACATGCTGCCAGTGTCAACAGGCCCGACTCGAGAATTGTTTACGCGAGGCGATAATAATGGTCCAAGCAGTGGGCCAGGGAGGGAGTACTGTAGTGGTAGTACTGTAGTACTGACCCATCAGAAGTTGAAGTTGCATCTGGAGTTTCATTGTTTTCCCCTGTTTTTTGTTTTTATGTCGCTGCTTTTCTTTTCTTTTCCGCATTTATTTATCTTTTATGCCAGGGAATGGCCAAAAGTGCTTTATTTGTTGCGGCGCATTCATTGGCAACACAAATGGGCGGCAGCTGCCTAAGGGGGAGTGGCAGCATGGCAGTATGCATTTTGTTTTCGATGCGTGCGGAGGAGATAAACTGCGACAATTTGCCCGGTGAATGAGTGGAACTTTTTCACTGTCGACGCAAAGGGGCGCGAAACAAAAGCAAAACTTTCCCACGAGTGTGCCAGTGTGGACATTGCAATTTAAAATATAATTAATGGTCCCGTAATTTATTGAATTTGCATGGCACAAGGCTGCATTGCTGTCATTTCTTGTTTGCCGTTTGCCAGTTTGCCAGTTGACCAGTTTTCCAGTTGTCCAGTCGGAGAGTCCAGTGGCGAAGCGAATGTCCTTGGGAGGCGAGTGGCGAGTGGAGTGTCCGCACATGCACTCACTTCTGTTTTAATGCACTCCGCCCGGTCGACGTTCCCTCGCAATTGTTGCTGGCTGGCTGGCTGGCTGGCGGAGCAACAATAACATCCCGATAATGACTGCCAAAAGTCCATTTGGAACAAGGAAAAAACTGCCCAGTTGCCACTTGGATGCAAAATTGCTGGACGAAAAATCTTACCGAAAAAAACGCATCAAAGGAAGTAAAAAATAGGGTTACCAAAATGTGTTCCAATTTCAAAGAGAGAGAGAGAGCGCGGTTTTTAATCAAAAATATATATATTTTATTTTATTAAATAGCTTGCAGCTTCCAATGGGCTCGAACAGTTTACCGAAGATATATTGAGTTTAATAACAATAATAAATAATTTATTATGCAATTTAAGCATTGAAAGGTACTCAAAAATATTTATTGTTTTTTATTATTCATGTTTAATATACAAATGGCCACTATTTCTTTATATTATATTTATTTAAAGTACTTAAGGTTTAAAAAAATTACTTTTTTGGAACACATTTACCTAGATGAGATAGCAGAAGGAAAGCATCTCCTTTTTAATTGCAAGTGGATCTTGTTCTTACCTTCACTAACAAGTTTTTTTTTTGGCCTGTGAGTAAGTAAAGTAAGATGAAAATGTACCAAATTCGAAAAGGAGTAAAATGAAACTTTTTTTTGGGCACCAGGCACCGAATGTGGCCACCGTGGAATGCCGGGCCTATTGTTTGGCCGCCATGGCGGATGAATTAATGGAAGATGGGGCCGGGATGCATGGCGAGAAAGCGAGAATGAGGGCAGCAGACAAACAATCTTCCACGCTTTTCCCCCTCACTTTTTTTTCGCTTCATTTTCTCGGCTATCTCTGGCCATCGCTTTTGCTCGTTTTGGCCTGGTCCAAACCAACTCATTCTCGCTTCCTGCACTTTGCATGCCCCGCACTATTTGCAACTTGAAGAAAACTGAACGGCAGCGAATGCTCCATAATGGCCGCTGCCTCCCCCGTCGACCATTTCCTCAGCAATGGAACGAGTAACTCCCTAGGTTCCGTGTCATGTGCGTTACTTAAAACATACAAAATGGCGCGGAGTTCGCCTTTCGCCTTTAAAGAACACGCCACAGTGCATCCCCGTGGGCCGGGAAAAAAGGGCCAACCGGGGCACCCGAAAAATTTACATACAAATTAGGGTTAATGAGCAGTGAAATTGTTATTTAACTTCAGTTGGCCCGTTAAGCGCTTTAAACTGCTCCGCCACTTGAGCCAAAAGAGTCTTCGAATATCTACGTACTTTGCGACACGTTTTCCAAATTCTCTTTAGCACCGGCTTAAATGGGAGTGTCCTTTTAGTGCTTTACCGGCCACCGCATAACAACAGAAATTTAATTAATAATCTTGCGCATAATTCATAAATTGATTATTGCGCATACGCCACGTGTTCTTAAATTAATTTCCATTCACATCTTTCTTTTTATATATTCATTTTTTCCGTTTTTACTGCTGCAGCAGCAAGGGTGATTGGGAGTTTTATTTAAAATTTAATCAAACACTTTAATTTGATTAACAGCGCACGTCTTTCAATATAAATTTATGGCCGAACGACGCATAATCAGAGACCAGAACCGGCTGTACAACCGGAGCCGGAATGCCGGAGCGCCGGAGTGCCGGAGTGCCGGAGTGCTCCACTGACCAGCCGTAAAAAAGGGTTGACCGCCCGCACATCCGTTCACCCGATCTGAACTCCCGTCTGGGCTTTCAACACATCAACGCCGTCATTTGATATGCGTACATGTGACGGGGGAAGTGGGGGACTAATAGCAGCACGTACGTTTGATAAAATATTTTATTGGCATGTATGGGTGGGCGGTACTGTCGGGCCCAGCGATTTTATAGATTTTTCTAATGCTCAGATGGAAGGGTTCGTTGCTAGACCTCTTCTAGGTGTAAAAACCCATGAGAAATTACGCTTTATACGAGACCAGTCCTACTGAATAGTCAGTTGATGTTTTTGATTCTATGAAAAGTTAAAAAAGGACCTCATACAGAGGTTTCACAAAATTTGTTCTATATTTCATCATCCTAGAATTAAGATAGCCCTTTTGTATTTACATCAACTTCTAATCTTTAACTGATTGTTTTCCTCATGCATTCCCCATGAAATTAGTGCAACGTCTGAACAGCAATTTGGCCACACAAATCATTTCAACATAATATACAACTTCAGTTGTGGAGCCCAACAAAACGAGGATGGCATTTTTATTGGCCTACGTGTCTTTTGTGCCATGGCTGTTGCCACAACACACTATCTCGTCATGCGAATCTGGAATAAATCTTTCATTTCATTTCTGGTGCACGGAAGTCACGGCCACCGGTCAGCAAGTTTTTCGGCTGCGAAATGCTATGATGATAAATGCCAAACAATCCGGAACGCTGTCATCTTTCAGCGGATACTCGATTTTCGCTGGAAATTCCATGGAGTTCTGCCATCTCGCTCTCTCTTTGGCATAATTTCACAATTAGTTCAAGTCAGGGAAAGCGTCAAATTTATGCGCATTCGAGGGATTCGAAATCCGCGTTCAATGAACCTGTCCACATCAACGCACGACCCACTAAATTGAATTCTTTGTTTTGGCAGGAGCAACAGCAGCAGTAGCCATTTTCCAGCAGCAACAAAATGCAGAATGGGAAGAAAAAATAACTTGGAAAAAGCAAAGCAAAAGTTTTAGCAAACGGCAATTTTGTGTTATTTCATTTGTTTGCCTGCTTATATCGCTTGTATTGTAGTTGTTGTCGTTGTTGCCGGGGTGCCCGTTTGGAATTTTAAATATGGCGTCTGTTTTGTTTGAAAACGGAAACGAGTGTCTGTCAGTTTATTTGTTTGTTGTTGATGAAGTTGTTGTTGTTGTTGCTTCTGGTGCTGTCGCAGTCCCAAAAACGAAGTCAACCAACTTTGGCAAAGGAAACGCCGCCTAATGTGTTAGTTTGCGAGCAAGTAAAGATTCACACACACACACATACATACATTGGACGGTGTGTTTGTATAACTTCGTTGGCAATTGAGAGGCCGTTGCCAGCGGCTCTGGTGAATGGGGATATATATCTGGAGATATTCAATTTACCAAAGATAAGAAATCATTTTTTTAAGGCTTAAGCAAACCTGAGGCTCACGCAAGAAGCAAACAAAACTGTCTGACCCTTTAAAGTGTTTATGCACAGAGAGAAATCTTTAACTAATGGAAATTTTAAATATATTCTTTAGTAAAGTGAAGTGAGAGTAAAACCAGTCCAACTTCTGAATTAAGCATATACGAGTATGAGTTGCTTCTTAGGTTCCGTGTATTTTAGGTTCTAACAAATTTTTTTAGGTATTTTATTTTTGTGTTTTGATTTGCCTTAAGTTTGATTTTCACATCACCCCCTTTAATAAAGTAAAGTAAACAACATCTCTGGAAGTTTTGCCTCAAATTTCAAACACACAGGCAGACACATACACACACAGGCGCAGCCATATAAATGGCACAATTTTCCTTTGAGCTAATAAAGTTGACTTTACATTTTTAATAGTCTACTTTTCGGCGCATTAGTTTTAATGCTTATGACGATGCTGTTTTGCATGCAAAATGCACGGGGTAGTGAAGTCATCCCTTGTGGCAAAATTTTTGGCTTGCTTTTTGGTCCCATTAGATCTGGCTTCCTGCTCCGGGCACTCGGCAGTACCTGACTTGGTTGCCAAAACAAGATTTCTCACTCATTATGCGGGACACAATAAATATTTGCCTATCATTTAGCTATTTGCATTTGCCAAACGAAATTGATGAACGTCCCCGGCACTACAGCAAATTGAATTGGCCAAGCCATTAACAAAACTGAATTTTGCTTATCGCCATTTGCAATGGGTTTTTGGCCCTGGAAGCCCTTTTTGGAAAATGACACACACTCATGCGCCACATTTGATATTTATGCAGATTTTGCTGCTTCTGGTGGTGTTCGGCCGTTGAAGCTACTGCTGCCTAGTAATGAGTAGCAGATAAACATGCCGATAAATTACTGCATTTTTGGGCA